TCACCATCGGCTTCGAGGGCACATCCAACGTGGGTCAGCCACCGCTCTACGACGGTGAAGGTCAACCGTGGACACCTACGCCATGCCACAGCTTCCGAACTCGCCCCATGGGGTCAAGTCCTAAATGCCATGAACGGCCAGCCACCTCCACCAGCTCGACACCCTCCAGAAGATGCTCCCGACGGGCCACCCCCTCACGATCGCGGAGAAGGTGGAGGAGGACCAGGAGGCGCACCGCCTCCACCGCCGCGCAAGCCAGCGGACGACTACACCAACGAAAACGTGTTCATGGACCTCACCGGCCCCACGCCCCAGAAGCAACCGCGTACAGATGCTGTACCAGCGCCGCCTGCCGCACCGATCTTCCCACCAATTCCACCTACACCAGTTCCACCAAGTTCCGCCCTACATCCTGTCCCCCAAAATTTCGGCAACATCGCAGATACGCCAGCTAATCGACGCCAACATGCCTTTATCGAATGGCTCAGTCGCAAGCAAGGTGATGACGACTTTGTTCCTACTGGAGGAGCCAGTGGAAGCGGTTCGGCGCCAGGACCTTCGGGAGGAGACCATCTACTACCTGCTGCCGATGCGGCCGCAGCTGCGCTCGACTCCGGCCCTGCCGACCAACCTGCACCACATCCGCCGTCACTACCTCAACCCGAACAGCCCGAACATCCTGAACCAACTCCAGCAGCAGCAGACGACCACGATCGACAGACTCAAGAACCACCAGAACCTCAACAAGAAGGGCCAGTTGATGACGATGGAGATAGCTCGGGCGCCGAGTTCATCAACGAGATAGCCAAGAAGATGGAGAGTCAAGCCAAGGAGGAGGTCGAACTACGTCGCCCCCGACATCATGCAGATCAACGAGGAGCCAAGGCACAACGACGTGATCAACGAGAGGACGCCCCTCAGGCGCTTAGACGTGATCGACACGAACGCGATGATCCTCGAGTTCGAGCCGCCAAGAGAAAGGCGCTGCTGGACGACCTACCGAAGTGCTTCAAGAAGCCCCGCGACACTAACAAGACAGACTACTACCTGGACAACTACTTCAAGGCCAACGCAGACGAGATACAATTTGCGCCCTCATTACGCGAAGTCCCCCTTACTGGGAAGGCGGCCGCCAAGGAGCTGAAGTACGACAACGTGTCCACCAAGGAGAAGAAGCTCATGGATGAGGCAATGAAGGTCGAGTGGTCCAAGTGGATAGAGTTCGGGGCTTACAAGAAGCTGCCGCCGAAGGATTTGAAGGAGCTCTCTAGGCGAAATCCTGGCATTCGCCCGGTGGGCACGCGATGGGTGCTCACCAGCAAGGGGCTCAACCTCATGAAGGCCCGCCTCGTAGTTCAAGGGTGCCAGGAGAACAAGTCACAGATCCGCACTGATGCACCTACAGGATCTAGAGATGTTCTTTACCTTACGCTTGCCGCCGCTGCTCAATCTGGATGGGACCTCACGTCGTATGACGCCATGACGGCCTACCTCCAGTCTGGCAACATCGAGAAGCTCTTACTGCTACGCATGCCTGCGAAGAACCCCCCACCCGGTACTTTGCCTGGTGAAATCGCTATGGCGACCAGTGCTATCTACGGCACCCGTGACGCAGGACGGCAGTGGTATCTCTACGCCCAGAAGGTGTTGAAGGACCACGGTTTAATCGAGAGCAAGCTCGAGAAGGGTCTCTAAAATTTCTACGACTCCAAGGGCCTGGCCGCCGTCATACATTCCCATGTGGACGACTTCTTGATATCTCAGCGCAAGGATTCAACAGAGTGGCAGCGCATCATTGATAGCCTTGGGAAGAAGCTGCATCTAAAGAAGGTTGAGGGCATTATCAAATATTGCGGACGCACGATCAAAGTCTGACGAAGAGTTTCGCGTCACGCAGGCCACGGCTGCCAAGCAGGTCGACCCTGTCGAGATCCCCTTCGCGAAGGGCCGCGCCCCCGACGACAAGCTGCCCATGGAGGAGGTATCCAGCTATCGACACACCCTGGGTCAACTACTCTGGCTCGCTGTTCAGACGCGAGTCGACATCGCCTGCCCGGTCAGCATGGCTGCCAGGCGCACGAACGTCGCTACCGTTGCCGACGCCAAGACGCTCAACAAGACGGTCAACTACGTTCACGGCTCCTCCGACTTTGCCATCGTGCTGAAGCGCAATCTCATCAACGCGAACACCTGCACCACCGTTTGCTTCAGCGACGCCACGTTCGCCAACATCGACGGTGTTAAGAGCCAGTGGGGCATGGCCATGGGCCTTACCCACCGACCTCGCGATGTAGTCGGAGGCCGATACGATCTATGCCTACCAGTTGCCTGGCATTCGGGTACCGTCAAGAGGCCCGTGAAGTCCACGCTGACCGCGGAGGGTTACGCCACCCTCGAGGGGACCGAAATCAACACATGGTTCCGCCAGCTGCTCACCGAAGCCTACAACCCCAAGACGCCGCTCAAGGAGATCGACGATCTCAGCTTGAAGCGCCCTGGGGTGGTTTACAGCGACAGCAGGGGCCTCGTTACCCACATCCAGTCCGACGTGGGCTAGTCTTCCGACAAGCGGTTCCGCATCGTCGCCTCCACGATCAAGGAGTCCGTGCATCCCAACAGCGAGCTGCGCTTGACTTGGGTTCCTACCTAGAGCATGGTTGCCGACTCGCTCACCAAGGTGATGGAGACCAGCTTGCTGCTCTCCTTCTTCGGCGCCAAGAAGCATGACTTCGGCACCAGGCAGCCCAACGCCGCCATGATCGCCTCCGTGCTTGCCACGTGCATCGGCAAGGTCAAGGGTCAGCCGACTCCTTCGCCGCCACAGCCGTTCGACATGAACTACTACTGGTACACGTGCTACCTGACGTGCTTCTCGATGTTCGTGGGAATGATGGTGGGATTCAGCATCTTCGCCGTTATGTGGTACACGATGGCCCAGAACACCCTGAAGCCACCGCCGCGGGAGGGCAAGGCTGAGGGCGACCAGCACCCGAACTGGGACGGGAGACGCCTCGGGAGGCGGAACAACGTGCAGCCCGCGATTCCAGAGGAAGAGGACGCCGACGGAGACATCTTCATGCCCGACGCCCAGGAGACCGTTGCCGCTGCCGCGGCCCAGAGCAGCTCATCGACAGGGAACGCAGGTCCGGCCCCGAGGCCTTCGGCTGCTCCCGCGCCGGCATCGCCGCAGGACAGCTTCGCCCCATCATCGTCACCGAGCACGCCCATGACGGTATCCAGCTCATCATCGGCAAGCATCGTGTCCTGGAATAACTCCACGCCGACGGTCTCGCCGATGGAGATCAACGAGTGTGCCGTGGCAGGGCACAGCATTCGCGTAGGGTATAACCCGTACAGCGTCTACGCGACCTGCAAGATATGCAAGCGCCACTCGTCGTGGCTTCGCCGGAACCACAGAGTGCATCAGCCCGACTTCACGCGCATGCACCACTCGCTGAAGCACGAGCTCCAGTGTCGATGGGCGCAGATAATGGGATTCGACGCGCCGAGCCGGACGACGCCGGCAAAAGGGACCAAGAAGTCCACGTGAATGAGCTTCCCGCCCGTTCATGCTTCGCCGCTATTTGGACGCTGCTGCCAGCAGCCGCTCACACTATCCGCATTCAGTTTGCTTTCGCCGCCACCCAGACGCTGCTTGCCAGCCGCTCACGTTAGTCCGCATTCAGTGTGTTTCGCCGCCACTCGGACGCTGCCTTCTTTCGCAGCCTGTATGTTTCATCGCGCCTGGCCTGATCAGCCTCTGTGTGTGCTCTGTTTTTATGGTGATGACGATCACCAGCCAGATTGCTCCGCTACCAAAGCTTTCATCTTATTACAAAGTAATAAGATACCAGCCGAGTGCCCGTTGCGCCGAGAATTTATATCTCAGCAGGTGCGTGAAGCAGCACCCGTCAAATCGCCCCGAGGGCAGCCTGCTAGCATGCCGTGCGAGCCGTTTGCTCGCGACAGATTATCCAGATAATCTGCTCCGTTTGTAATGTAGCTTTTGCGAGTGATTTGAAGTAGTCCCCGCTACCATGCGCCCGAGCGGCGACTAGGAGGAGTGTGAATCAAGCTCACTCCCCAGGAAAGTAGAAGCAGGTTATTATATCTCTTTCCCTGCCCTTGCTGCTGCGCTCTCACCCCCTGTTCTCTCGCAACCGTTTTCTCTCAAAACGTTTATAGGGCCCTTGGCCTTAGAGCTACGTTCCTCGCCGCGCGAGTAACAGATATCCAGCGATTATCTTTCATATCACACTACTAACACTACTACTACTACTACTACTACCACTACTACTACTACTACTACTACTACTACTACTACTACTACTACTACTACTACTACTACTACTACTACTACTACTACTACTACTACTACTACTACTACTACTACTACTACTACTACTACTACTACTACTAACTACTACTACTACTACTACTACTACTACTACTACTAACTACTACTACTACTACTACTACTACTACTACTACTACTACTACGACTACTACTACTACTACTACTACTACTACTACTACTACTACTACTACTACTACTACTACTACTACTACTACTACTACTACTAGTACTACTACTACTACTACTACTACTACTACTACTACTACTACTACTACTACTACTACTACTACTACTACTACTACTACTACTACTACTACTACTACTACTACTACTACTACTACTACGACGACGACGACGACGACGACGACGACGACGACGACGACGACGACTACTACTACTACTACTACTACTACGACTCCTAATCCGAATAAGACTGATACTGTCATAAGGAGGTTTTAGGACCTGTTCTATTCACCCCCCAGAGAAAGGGGTAGGGGTCAAAACGAAAGACCTGTAGAGGTTACTAGTCGGCTGGGGTGACGCAGATCGGTGGAGGCAACCGCCGGCAACGGTGTTGGTGCCAACCTCCAAGCCTCCGACCCTCCCCTCCACCCAACGGAGGAAGCGAGATCGCGCCCATCTCCTGCTCGTCGAGGTGGCGGCGCTGGGCGGGCCGGCGACAGCGGCCTGCCCCCCCCCTTCCCAGACTCCTCGCAGTGCAAAAAAATTAGGACGGGAGTTTTCTCGCTAATTTTCGGCCTCTGGGCCCAAGGACCGTCCAATAACGACTCGGGATGAAAAACTGGTTCCGGAGAGGGGTCCAGACCTCTGGGGGTCGACGTTGTGAAAAAATCGCGACGTCGGGGGTCTGGGTTCTTGGCCAGGAAAAAAAAAGACGAGGGGCAAGGGTGGAGGATGGAGGGGGCGTTCCGTGAACAATCTTAGGACTCTTGGGGCAGCTGATAAGTAATCGCAAAAAGCCTCTTGTGCGTCTAGGAGTCCTTTGTAGACCATCTTGAAGGCCCCTGTCGGTGGCTTTCCAGGGGACTTCGGCAGCTTTCGAAGGTTATCTAAGCATTTGCGGAAGTTGCCAAGGGCGGCGGCAGCCACACGACGGCGACGACGACAACGGCAACGGCGGCGACGACGACGAGGCGCCACCGAGGACGCCGCCACCACAAAGGAGCATTTCAGGCGTTTGAAGCGCTTTCCGTGTGGGGGCATGCACGGTCGGAGTGCCGCAAGGTCTCGCCAGAAAAATCTGGCGCGAGCTCGCACTGGCCAGTATGATGCAGTCGAAACACGGCCAAAGGAACGTAGAACGTGGGTCAAGAGCATGAGTCCCTTCGCCGAAAGCCCAGGGCCCCCTTATGAAGATACCTCAAACGAAGAACACTCCGGGGTGGAAAGCCCAAACACTAGGAACTGCCCCTTCAAAGCTAGGATCATTCTTAGCCCTCGCGCCAGCTGTGATCTGAAAGCCTTGGTCCTCGATCCTCGATCCCCCTGCGGCCGCGTCGACGACGAGGGCCTCCAAGGAGGGCCAGAGAGCGAGGACAAGGACGACGACCAAGGCAGGCGACGACGAGGGCCAAAGAACGAGGAAGACAAGGGTGACGGACACGGCAGGACCCCACCCGACCGCGCCCCAACCCCCTCCGCAGCGACGCCGGCCCACAGGGAGCAGCCCAGGATCCTGGAGGGCGAGGGTCATCGTCGTCGTCGTCGTCGAGCTGCTCCTCGGGAAGGAGGGGGTGAAGATCGACGTTTTGAGGCGATGTGGCAGAGGAGGCGGAGGAGGGAGGGGAGAGGAGTGAGATGGAGAGTGGATGCGGCTGGAAAATGGAGGAGGGTGGAGGATGAGCGGACGAGCGCGAAGGAAGAAGGGGGGCAGGAGAAGGACACGGAAGGCTTGATGAAGATGGAGCAGGGTGGAGGAAGACGGAGTGATGGATCACTGGTGGAGGAGAGAGAAAGAGGGACGGTGCGTTGGGAAAGGCAGCAGCAGCGGCAAGGGCCCAGAAGACTACGGGCGCATCAACGAGCACAAGGGAAGGAATGAGAGAAGGGCAATCTGACCATGCGTGGTCTCGCCGCTGTGAAGTGCCCTCCCTGCTGCGCTGGAAGGCCCGAACGTGCTGGACACGCTGGAAGCGAGTCTGGTCTCTGCGGAGGTCTGTTACCAGGCCGCGGCCGTCGGCAAGCTTGAGCAGGCAGGCATCGTCCATTCGCGGGCACACTCGCCTCTTGACGTTGTTCACCTCACGGAACTCCACAGAAACGGCCCTGCTGCACCAGAAACAGCGAGGGACTCCGCAATACAGCGCCACGTGCAAGAGGCTCCCGCATGCCCTGCCGTCGCCGTGCGAGACCGCTATCTCGACGGCCAAAACTTCCAAGTTATCTCGGCAACCGTCCAAAAACCAGCCGTCATCCGACGGTGCGAGGAGCCAGACCTAGACTTCTCTGGGATTGACTCATTCAAAATGTGGGCCTCCGAGCTCTCGATCCTCTTCCTCCTGACCCCTGACTCCATCCTGCTGCTGCTCCTGCTCTTGCTGTGTCTTGGCCCCGAGGAGGAATGCGACGAATGGCTGCAGAACAGAAGAACACCCTTCAAGGACATGAAACCCTTCGCTGGCCAAAACACACAGAACATCCAGGGGGCCCATCCCCAGGATACACGAGAACGTCCGACAAGCACGAAGACATGAAGGTCCTACACCTCGATCTCATACCTCGGCTTCACGTATGCCTCTCCAAATCGACCACGATCTTAAACCTCGGTCCGATCCTGCCTGTCTTTAGCCTGACATTTCGTCACAGTGCCCGTCACCCACCCAGAGCCTCCTGGAGCCCTACTCCTCGCAGCTGCGTGCCAGGTGCACGGTGATGCCATGTTGGATATCACCCCGTTGGCGCTTGCCCCCGCCTCGCGCATATACTTCGGCGGCGAGCGAGCGGGGGAAATGAAAAGGAGAAGGCCTACTCAGAAGGCGTCGGGGCTTCTCAGAAGGCCTCTGGCCTCCTGCGAGGTTTCTGTGTCGTCGGGGAAGGCTCAAGAAACTTCTCCGAGGAAGGGGACTTCCGAGGCTTCTGAGATGGCTGGCCCCTTCCCACTTCCCCCTCGGGCTCGCCGCCGATACCTGCACGTGTGAGTAGTCCGATGGCCACTTCGACTCACCCTCACCTGGCTTTCACTCCGCTGGCCCAGGGCTGAAGGCCGAACAACACGAAGAGAACCCTGGGCAAGAGCCTGACCAGGAGAAAGACGTCCAGGTGCATGTGAAAGCAGTCCCCCCCCTTCCAGGTGCCCTTCGGGGCCCTCCTGGGCCCCTCTTGAAAGCCTCGGAGTCCCACTTGGGCGGATCTTGGCCGCAAATTGGACCGTCTTGAACACCCTCAGTACCAAGAATAAACTGGGTATGCGCACATCGTTCAAAAGCCTGAGGCTTACCAGGGCTGGCCTCCAGGGCCTCCAGGGCGGCCCGAGAAGCCCCCGCGAGAGCCCAAGAGCCCCTGACGGCCCCTTGGGGCTGCCGAGGGTTCCTGAGCCTCTTCCAGCGCTTCTTGGAAGCATGTGCGCTCGGCCCTCGAGGAGGCAGAGGAGAAGGGGGGAGCGCCCAGATCGCCCCATGCCGCTGGCAGGCCCGAGCCAGATCGAGTCGCAGAATCGCATTAAGTCTCGAGAGCAGATCGGATGGGATAGCGCCTGGACCGGCGCGGAATCGGATCGGGATCGGACTGTTTAGGATCACGGATCCGGCTTGGCCCCTGCAGGCCAGCGAGAGAATCGGCTCGCGTCCGATCGGATCGGATCGACATATGAATCGAAAGCTCGGAAACGGGTCGGATCGAGTCGGACCGTGAGCGGCCTTGTGGGGCACACAGGAGCGAATTTGTCTTGGGCGCAAGACCGTGTGGGAACAATATCAGGCACTCTCAGTGTTGCCGGGAGGCTCCCGCTTGATGGAAAAGCAACGCAGAAAGTACCCGCGTTGACGATATGAATTGTCAGACGGCTCCCGCTCGACAAATAACTCCGTGCTGGAAGGCTCCCGCAGGTCAAAAAACGATGCTGGAAGGCGCCCGAGCGTACAATAATAAATACCAAGATGCCAAAACCGCTCAAACCTCTGAAGCGATGCAGTGGTTCTTGCCTTCTCACCCTTACAATTCCGATGCCCTCCATTGCGTCCCCTAGACCCCATGCCAAATCCGATTCGCTGACGCTGGCTGCACAAAACGACAAATGTGTGCTCGTTCAGCGCCTAGCTTCGTGTTCGGCGCGGGACGAGGGGATTGTCGGGCGCGTCCGCGTTTTGTGGGGCACGTTATTGAGCAAGGCGCATCGATGAGATAGATATACACAAACATACTTGCATAGATGCATACATGCATACATACATACATGCATACAGACAGACAGACAGACATACATACATACATACACTTGTTTTTGTTGTCGGCGGGGCGAGAGCGAACCTCTTCTGCTAAAAGCTAGGCGGGCTACGCACAGCTTTAATACATACATACATACATACACGCACGCTCACACGCAGTGGAACAACATCAGTGCTGCCAGTCAAGAAACAACAGTGCAATGCCTTCACGCTCCACCCAACTTTACAGAAAGAGATGCGGTCCGAACGTTGGTTATACTCGTGGTGGCGCTGTTCCCTAGAATCACTTACTAGAAGCTTCTGTATGCCACTACGGACCAAAAGCACTCGCCACTGCCCCACGCCGAAGCAACAAGTGTCAAAACATACTTCATTCGAATATATCCGAGAGGCTTCACACGATGCCTTGTCGCCCAAAACGAAAAGCGATGCCGAATCATTATATTCGTAGGGCCCAGACAGGAGCAACATGAATTAAGGCGTGCGTGTAGACTTCGACCTTGGACTCTGACCTCCTCTACTCCGTCTCGTCTGCCCCGTCCTCTTCCTCCTCCTCCTCATCTTCCTCCGTGGGGTGCTGAAGCCAGCTGAGACATCCTCACAAACTGCCCTGAATGCAAACAAGTCAAGGCAACAAAACAGGCAAGCCGCCTGAAACAGCCCGACAATCTGGACGCGAACGGAGCCTTCCAATCACCTCTGGCGGCTCCCCTTTGGGGGTGCTGAAACCAACAAATCGGTTGAGACATCCTAACAATATGCTCTGAAAGCAAGCCAGCCCAGGCAATCCAAAAAAGAAAACCGCATGAGACATCCCCATCATCTTGCCGTGAACGGGGCCGTGAACGGGGCCGTGAAACCACTTGGCGGCTCCCCCGTGGGCAACTGAAGCCGGTAAAGCGGCTGAGACACATCCACACTCTGCTCTGAAAGCAGAAAACAACCCTGAGCTACGGAACAGGCAAAGTGCCTGAAACATCCCACAATATGGGCGCGAATGGGGCTGTGCAGTCACCCCCTGGTGGCTCCCCTTTGCGTGTCGAAACCAGCAAATCTGCTGAGACATCCTCACAATCTGCTTTGAAAGCAAACAAGTCCGAACAACAAAAAAGGCAAAACGCCCGAGACATCCCGCAATCTGGCCGCGAACGGGGCCGTGCAACCACCCCTGGCGGCTGAGACATCCTCACAATCTGCGAGTCTGAGTGCGCGTGTGTCACAAGTCTAAGTGCGAGTATGT